GGGGCGGGGAGAGCCCGCTGGCGGGGGGCTGCCTGCCCAGCCAGCCCCACGCAAGCCTCCCAACGCACCTTCATCCGTACCTGGAACACCCTCTGTTTTCCTAAGGGTTCTCCTCAGAGGTTCTCCCTTGTGCCAAATATTTTTTTGAACTGTGGACTAATGTCAATCAAAGATTAAGTGGAAATCGTAACAGACATTTCACTCATGACCAAATGCAGTTCTCCCCAGCATAGCTGCTCTTACTGATATTCTTAGATTCAAAGAAAAATAAACAAGCAAATACTGTTGTATCATTAGCAGTAGCGAAAATCTCTATTTTTATGCCTTGTGGCACATTCAGTTAGCTGCAGAAATCAGACACATCAGCTTTTGTGGACTGCAAGAATAGGAGGAAAACTTATGGCCATTTCAGGCATTACATCAGTGACAAACAAGTATGTATCCTTAAAGAGAAAACCAAAGGATGTTTTCTGCTCAAAACAGAGGGAGCATTTTTAGTCCTGGTGCTTTTCCTCCTCAGTAAAGCTTCCTGGTTACATAATTTCATCGAAACTCTGGCATGTGATATAAATAAATCAGTACATGATCAGAATCTGGAGAATTTGCCCCAGCCACAAACCTGCTTCATAAATTGAGCATGAAAGCTGCAATCACCACACTATGTAGACTGAAATTGGCCGCACAGAGGGATAAGCTTTAAGAAGCTCTAAAATAAATTCAGAAGAAAAGAGAAGAGAAGCTTCATAGTGGAGACCTTGTGAGACCAAGTATTATTAATACCATAGAATGAAAACCTAAAGACAAACTCAAGGAGTATTTTCTAGTCACTTGGGGGGAAATAGTCTTTCAGAAAAGGCAGCAGCACTAGCAAAAGACAGAGTTTACTGAACATAATTAAAAGTGTCCTCTCGACTTTACGGTGTTTTGGGTCAGCCCTGATGCTCCAACGGAACTTCCTCTCATGGGGCTGTTGCTATTAAAAACAAAGTCTGGAGGTTACGGTCATGGGGACAGGATGGGAGGGCTTTTTAGGCAAAAACAAGTAAGTGTGCCAAAGTCATTCATTCAGTTAAGAAGATAAGCTTTCAGTATCACAAAAATCCAAAGGCCAGCTATAACGTTAAGATATTTAATCTGCAATAAATAAATACAAAAGAGGGGAGTTTCAACAGACAAATAGATGCTGTGTTTTTATAACCAGCTCCCATAGGAGCAAATACACCTCTGATGACATGCTTGGGGTTTGCACAGCACCACTGAATAACCTCATCAGAGGAGGGTGGGGATTTTTATAGCCAGGAAAGCTGGCATCCTCTCTGGCATGGCAGTTGTTCAGCAAGCCAGAGGTCATTGTGCTGCACATATACACTGCAAGGCCAGTGAATTGAAAGCCAGGATACAGCCAGAGAGAGGTAAAAGGGAAAGCTTGTTCTCCACACCCAACTTGTAAAGATCTCCAGTTTGCTTTACTTGTGAAGGATACTCTTTGCAAAGTCCAAGCATGACTGTTGCCTGGCTGGGGACTGTGACATTCCACTGCTGCTCCAGTCCACCACCTGATGGCATTAAGGAACTGGAGCTCTGCAGAGGTAGGAGCATCTCTCCCCACAATCCTTGCACTGACCTCAGTTTTGGACATCTAGGACAGCTAGAGCAGTGCTCTAGATAAAACCACATTTGCTAGTTCCTCCCTTTGGAGCGTGACCGGATGGCCTGGACCAGAGCATCCTCTGGCTAGATCAGATGTCTGTGTTTAAGAGCTCGTCTGCTCGTAACAGCAGTACTGGACCATGTCAACACATTCTTTTGGTCAGCTTTAATATCATGCTTAGGAATGAAGAATTAGAATTAAGTGGACTTCTTGGGCTGATCACTGTGGTCCCATAAACAAAAACATGTGGACTACTGTTTTTCTCCCTACTGCTGCCTGCACGCAGAGAATGGAAGGTATCATAGGAGATAAACCTAGACTGAAAAATGGCCAAAGTTTTGGCCAAAGCCAACTGCTGTTTTATAAAACCTAGCAAGTGCTCCTTTTCTAAAGAAAATATTTACAGACATTTAATATCTCTCCCATATACATAAAGGATGTAATCATCTTAACTTTTAAGTTCTTTAAAAAATGTCCCATCCATAAGAAATGTTTAGCATTTGCAGAATTTATCTAGTATCCTTACAGAATACACTACTTACAGCCGTTTGATTCCAGACTCTGGCTGAGTTGAGGTTTTTGCCTGAATTATGGGTGTAGGTTGAGGCGATCTAGTTTCTTCTTCTGTTTCCTCACTGGAGAGAAAAAAAAGATAGTTAATGTTGTCCTCTCAGGCCATGGAAGCACTTTCAATTCTAAACTCCAAGCTGAGGTAGTATTGCAGATGAAAAAAGGAAAAATATCTGCTCTGAGGTCACTGAAACCAGTGAGAAATCTTTCCATCAACTTTAGTCTCCTTTTAGTATTTCCCTCCCATTGTTACAAGGTGAGGAATGGATGAAGAAGATTAATGCAATGAATACAATGACTACAGTTTCAAATGTTGACCCATTTTAGTCCTTATTTTTTTAAGTCCGGGTGTATTAAATGCTTGTAATCTTTCTAAGATTCAGCGAGACATCAGGCAAGGACATTATCTTCCTTAGATTTTTAGGAACTAGATACAAACTGAAGCCTTTATGCTTACAAACTTTAAGCCTTTGCAGCAATATAACCTTGCCAGAGACTATCTAGTAACACATTCATTGTCTCTAGACCTGCCCTACAGCTGCTACGTGTACAGTATGCAACAGGAGAGGAGCATGTAGGAGATCTAACCTACCTTTTGTAATATAAAAGCTCCTCTTGAAGTAAAAACACTTTAGATTTCAATTCATTCCTCTCATGAAGGACATCCCGCAGCTCCTGCAAGGTGAATCTTGGACGATTTGGATCTTTTAAGTCCACTGCCATCTTTTCTGACTCTGATAAGTCAGAAAAGTCATCGTTGTTTGGTTCTGTCTAGGAAGTGAAATACCAGATTTAAATTCATCACATGAATGCAAGTCTGATGCATTTAAAGTTTAGGCATTTATCAGTTTAGTTCTCAACCCCTTTGGTACTAATAAACCCTCTCAAGAGAAACAAAGCATTTTTAGGAGGAAAAAAAATGTAGGAGAAATTTGTTTCTCATGTTTAAGATTCTCAGTCTAACTTTTGATAAGTCATTTTACAGAATGTATACTTTTAACAAATGAGGTAAATTATACATCAGCCTTTTATATGTTAAAAAAAAGAGAGAACAATAGAACAATTGGATAGCAAATATCCTGATAGTTTCTCCCACAGAGAGGAAGCTCCTTTGGACATAACTAAATTAAGTGGAGATGTGAGTTCGTATCTCTATAATGCTTGTATTGAAAAATGCGTGATTGGTGTCAGTACCAGGGATGTAAGTACAAAGTAGAAGTCATCTGCAGATGAGCACTCGATGACACGCTTATACAGCTTGCCCTCCAGGGACATGGTTGCATTCCCAGCCTCTGGGGCTGCTTCCTGTTGTCCAGGTAGACTCCAGCACTTGTGAAGAACCATCTGAGCTAAACTGCTCGTGGAAATATGGCTGGGGTGAGCACAGTGCTCAGGAAAGGGGCATCATTCAGGTCCTCCAGCCTTGTCCCACTGCACAGAGCTGAGGACCAGTTAGCGGGAAATCACAAGCTCCTGGAAAGGCTGCTCACAATCAAGGTGCTGCAAGCCAGCTACAAGCCTGAGGAGGTCCGCAAGGTTTCTAGCTGTAAAAATAAGCACAGGGCACCCTCTTCCAGCAAAGAACATTTGAAATGTGATGCTTTTCAGAGGCTGACTGGAGGCCAGCACTTGAAATGAGAGATGCTGTCAGCCATGCCAGCCCCTACCCACCTGCAGGAGGCAGAGTGGAGAGTCCTGGCGTTCCTGCGTGGCAGTGACACAGCGGGATGGGGGTAATCCCACTGCCTTAAAGACTCTTAACTCTGCTTTTTCTAGCTAACTGGCAACCACCCAAATACATAGAACTCATTTGGTTTTCCAAGTGGAAAATGCACCAGTGGATGTAGATATCCTCTCCTAGACCAGCTTTTGAGAAACAGCTCCAGACATCTTTACATTAATATAAACATTTCTACACTTTTCAACACTTGAAGGTTCAGCTCCTATTGTCAAAATTAAACAAAAAACAGTCCCTCAAATAGCACAGAGATTGGTAGAGATACAGAGACAAGTGGCACAGAAAAGGAAGCAAAGAGCCTGACACTGGAGCTCAGTGGAAGAGGGAAGGCTTCAATTCAGTCTCAGAGCTGGGAAAAGGTTTTCGAATAAACAGTCCCAAAATCACCATGCAGTTTTAGGTGCCTCAAAACAGCTGGGAATTGTGATTTTTTCTGAACTGAGAGAAAAAAGCAAACCTCAAAGCACAAGGCTTCAAAACTACAAATGTGATGAGACTTCATTTGATTGGAAATGATTTTTTGCTAGTGGCAACAGAAAACAACAATCCAAGAGTTGTGGCCCTTTCTCATCTTCACTGCTGAGTGAGAACGATTAGGCAAAGGGAGAGGCCAGGAGCTGGTGTGTTCTGCTGCAGGCAGAGATTCTTCATGGGAGATGCACAGGTGAAATACAATAATTCTGACTTGCTCTGAGACCTCGAAGAAGTGCAGTGCTTTGAAGTAACAGTTTCTGGCTTTGCATCCCTGAGGAGCAGGATGAGATACCCTGCTCAGCTTCTTCAAAAGAGATCAAAACGGAACTCCATCAACTAGATGTGAAGAGCTAAGTACAGAGACTCATAGAGTCCATTTTTTGCAAGCTTGATTCTACCCTCTGCCAAGCTCACGCTTGTGAAACAGTTTTGATCTCCATTGATCTATTGTGGTTTCAGGTTAAACTTTGCTGGGCCGGAATTGCAGTCCTCTTCTTACAAAGACAAAACAGCACAGTAATGCTCACTTGTCCATTTCTGTCCAATTCACCCCTGATGTCTGATTCATTAATCCATATGCATTTTTTTTAAATACAGTTTAGCATTTTTTACGAAGTTAACAACAAATAAAGGCAGATGCACCCTTACAAAATATTCAGAGGAATTGTACATCTTTCCTCCCCTCCATCCCACTGGGTTAGGTTCAGCATTGATGCCTTGCCTTTCGGTTTTACATCCACCCCACACCTTTCCCCAAAGAAGTCACCTTTTTGCCAGATTTTGCCCAAGCCAGAAAAGCCCAAGAAGCCAATTCAAATGTCCTCGGCCGAAACCAACAAGCAATGTTTACTCCAGAGTGTGCAGCTATTCCAGTTTTCTGCTTGTCACTACAATTCCTGCCTAACCGTCATCCTGGCAGAGAGAACGGGGAACAACTCTAATTAGAAGAGGTGCCATTGCCATGAAGCTGGTGAGCCTGGGGACAGATGGGGGAAGAAAGCAGCCTTTCTCTCCAGGCACTGAAGACACTTTCACTCTTGCTGGCTCCAGGCCTAGGCTCCAGAGCCCCGTTTACAAAGCAGGAGCTCCTGGCTGAATTAGCAGCAATGAAGTCATCCCTTTCATTATTAATACAGTGCGTGCCCAACTCTGCAGGGACACGTTTGCACTGACTGTCACATGCCCTGGGGGACAAGAATACCCCATCCGTCTTTGCCTCTGCTTTCTGATATATATTCCTGCCTCTTACAAACAAATTGGGTGTTTCACTCTCTGCTGTTACCAGCAGCTAGTAACACTACTTGCTTCTTAACTGGCTCATACTGGCGCTGTTGCTAGTACATCCAAACAGAACTGCATAACAGTGCTCCCTGGAGCTCCTTCACACCATGATGCTCCTTCTCCTATTTGTGCTGTTCTAAGAGCAGTATCAGGAGAGGAAATACAGCACGTTTGCTTGAATAAGGCAGAAGTACACACAAAGGAAAGAAATAAACACAAAGGAAAATAACAGCAGGAACCATAAAGAGAGAGATAAAGCTCTATCTTTTTTTCCTTGTGAAGCTCCCCTTGAATTTCCATCCTTACTGCTCTTGTCTCAGCACCAAGCCGTTTTGCAAATTGTCACTTTGCTGGTTGTCACTTTGTCTGTTCTTTCAGGTACCTAAGCCTGTGTACCTTTGCTTTCCATGCACATTTGTGCTAGTAACATTTAACTGCCAAAATTCTCTCAGGAAGTGAAAAGCAAAAAGAGGGTCTAGTCAGTCTCCTGTAAAACAGGCCTACAAATATTTATATTTTGATTCGGTAGCAACAGGCCAGCTTAGTCTGGGCAGTCAGATCACAAGTGCCATAACCATTGTGAGGGCCAAGAGCTCTCATTTTTGTAGCCTACAATCCCAGCCTCCCTGTCACTTGTGACTGTCATGTGACTGTTACCTGGATTAAGAAATTCCAGTTGTTCAGTTCTGAACAACTGCAGTGAGGCAATGGATGGAAACACCGTCAGAGAAAACAATGACGTGAGGGCAGAGAAGCACACAGAGACCTGTTAGCTCAGCAACTTCCGCAGCTGTTACCTTTTCACAAGGAACTAAGCCTCCTCCAGAAGATTAAAGACTCTTGCGTCGCTTACTTTCGCCAAAGGTAAGTTCCTGCACCAAATGCAGTGGTTTTAAAAAAGTTTCTAAAAATGCACTCTCCTCCGCAGAAACTATTTGTTCTGGTGTCTGGTGAATTCTGCAGTCTAGCACTTGATTCAAAGGTCAGGCTCCTCAGGACATGTGCTAAATAGCGAAGTGTGAGGGCAGAACAGACCAGGGTCTGCTGCTCTCTGACCCAGACATGACACTGCTGAGCTGTCCTGCACTTCCCTCTCCATGTGGCTGATTCTCCCCTCCAGGAAGGAGGGCTCTGTTCCCTGGGTCACCGTCCCCCTGGCAAGGGCTTTCCTGTTACAAAGTGCTGAAAGATGTTTATGTTTCCCTGTACACTACACAAGGACGTCCTTGCGTACCACGGTTGGCTCTAACATATACCAACCACTTTTATTTGAAGAAGGGATGCTTGGTGTGACCTCTGAGGATCTTAGAAAGCCTGTTTAAAAGAGAATTACAGTGCCTCTTACCTTTATTTCTTCCCCATCTTGGCTGTCCTCGCCCTGCAGTTTTTCTCTGAGCTTCCCTAGCTCTGCTCGCAGGGTGCCCATCTCCTGCTCCTTGGTTTGCAGGTATGCTTCCAACTCCACCTTCTGCTCAATCAGCGCCTTCCCCTGCGCCTCCACAACGGTGATCCGGTGCCGCAGGTCATGGTTAATTTTCATGAGCCTGTTCTGTTGTTGTTGAAGCTACAGAACATTGACATAACAGGTAAACATCCACTCAGCCACCAGCCATGGAGGTTAAATTCCAAACATTATGTTAAAGAATGAGTAATGGGTTCCTGTTGAATTTAATAGGAAAAATCCTCATCTTTCTAATTACTTTTGTTATATCTAATTATCTGTTACAGTTGAAATCAAAACCTCTTCAGTTGTTTTCAGAGTAAAAAGAGGCACTTTCTCCCCAGCCTTGGAAATTCTCCAGCTAAAAGCAAACCTATCACTTCCATTACCATGTTCAAAAATCAGTGTTCAAGGGCAGGGGAGCTTAAGGAATTCAGAATCGAAACTTAACCCAGAGTGGAAGTGATAAGGACAACACAGATATAGACAGGACAGACAAATCTGAGAGTATCAGCCCCTTAAGAACCACCAACCAACCCATTTCTCACCCATCTTTCTTCCTTGTTACTCTGGTTTCCAGGCAGCCTCCAAGTGCCCCGAGTCCTTCCAGACACAGCAGAAGGTATGTGCCTGTACTAGCAACTGGTGATTATTTCACACACTCCACAGCTTTGCAGAACACTTCAGATGCTGGGCTGCTAATCTGGCATTGCTTACCAATTCTAAATTAACTTGAAAGAATGATGGAAGCATGGGTAAGAAAGAAGGAGAAGGAAGTACAGAAGCACTTACTGCCTCTACGTCCTCATTTTTAAGTCCAAGTTCCCGGTCTTTTGCCCTGATTTCATCCCTCTGTTTATCTACCACTTCCTTTAGCTTCTTCATGACTTGCCGCTCTCTTTCTGACATTCCTGGTTTTTAAAAAAAAAAAAAAAAAAACAAACTGAGGACAAGCAGGAGTTATTGAAAACAATAACAATGAAAAATATTTGGGTAAAGGCTCTGAAAGTTGCCTGCTGTGGAAATCAAAGAGATGGTTGACGGCTGATGTTTTGGACGAAAAGAAGGTTACTTTAGGGGTAACAGGGGACGTAGGTGATACAATCCATCCTGTAAAGCCAATGCAGTCCTTGAAAAATCTAACAGTCCTCAGAGGCATCTATAACAGTGGAGTGATATTGCTACGTCTTGCTACCTCAATGTTTTTACCTCTGCTGCGATGTTCACATTATGTGCCAGGGAGTTTGGTTATCTGTGTGATAACCTGTAGAATCGGGTAACTGTGAAAACTGTAGGAAATAGAGGCACATCTGACATCAGCAAGGTCTAAATATTTCACTATGGTGGACTGCCTTTAGGTCTAGACCAGCTGAGATGCCCTGATTTAGATGCTGGGATGGGAATGGCTCGTAGCCCTTAGGCAGGACAGCTGCACCCTGACACACATTTCTTGTTCTTTTAAGAGATTCTTACTTTCCTACCACAGCATGGTTGTGGAGTGCTGGAATCTTACACCCAGCTCTGACCTCTCCCTGATCTTGGACATTTTTCCAACCTACAGGGACACAGGAAATACCAGCTGGATGGAGCCAAAACAACACAAGCAGACAGGGACCCTCACAATAACACAATAGAGCCCTGGTATCTTCCCATAGCTTTCCTATCACTAGGGTTGTTTATTTGTAGTTCCTCACAGACCACTGCTGTATCCACACACCGCTCTGCAGGCTCCTGGATCCACCGTTCTGCAGTCAGTCACAAGGCTGGGGCCTAAAACGTCAGCTATATTTAAAAAAAAAATGCTTTGAGGTAAAGAGGGACTGCAGTGAGATTTTAGAGCAGCAGTTTCATCCCAGGAAGAGCCCAGAATGGTGAGTAAAGCTATATTCATTAGTACTTGTGAGATGCTTTGAGATCTCTAGATAGCAGGTGCTATTTAAAGAATAAAGTACCATTTCAGTGCTGACTGCTTTTCCTCCCACTGTGCTCATTTCTCTGCCTAACGTTTGGTGAGCACTTCAATTGTGTGCTCAGATAATTACATTATCCTTCTTATTTTACAAGGAGGGGAAAGGAAAGGTGGGAAGTGTTTGTGAAACAGTCACATCATCTCCTTCCATTTTTCCCAGGCATTGAGGAAGAGGGGAGGGAAGTCACTAAGTGCCCTAAATGTAAAGTAATTATCTTCAAAATGACTCAAAGTCTAATTATCTGCAAGATCTTAAATGGCACACCCAGCTGGCTTCCCCATGCACATCCTATCAGCAGTTTCCTGGGAATTGCTAGAGTAGGAAAGCAGTTAAAAAAAAAAAAGGGAATAAGAAACATTAAAAATGAGCATCCTTCATGTTTACGCTTAGAGATCTGTTTACCACTGCACTTATACAGAACGTAACGCAACAAGCCAGGCTCTAGCACTGCCACTATGTAAATACTCAGAAGAAAAGCCTATCTAGACTTTTGCAGGGGAACAGACTGTGGATTCCTCAGCAACCAAGCACAAGAGGTTCACACAACTGTCTGCTGCCGTCCTATTTCTTGTCCCTCCTACCACAGCTGCTGTGCCCGAGACAGCAGCTCTTCTTGCAGCCACCTGCTTGTCCCGTTTGCCTCACGTTGGCTCGAGTTTGCTCATGGCATTTTACCAGGATATTCTGGTCAGTCAGCACCATCAAACAAGCACTCAGTTTGAGCTAGGGAGGAGTAGCATTAATGAACATTGCAGATTCATCTCTAAACCCTCCTGTGTATTTTGTACTCTGCCATATGCCTCTTTCACATGAGCTTTCCTCTGCTCAGACTCTCAGAGAATGATGCTCTCTCTCTCCTGTTTAGATGGTGTTGCAGCTACTTCTCTCATAAACGCTTTCATTACAGCAAAGTGAGGCTCCCTGGACTCTGATGTGACTGTTAATTGGCAAGGATTGAATCTCTGTCCTTGCACACCCAAATCACTGGCCTCTGCTGGCTGTGCTAAAAATAACTCCCTCCAGTGTCTGGCGAGTAAGCAGCAAACTGTTAATCCCCGGGGTTAGCCGCTAAGGGGAGACATGATCACAATACTAAATCATGCTGAGATATCAAAACTGGAGTCTGGTCAAAGTGAGTCCAGCTAAAAAGGCATTTGGCTTGAAAAGTTGCATCTGTAAATGCATGTAAACTCTATATGCATCAGATTAAATGATGGAGTGAAAAGCAGTTTATATGCTTTTAGACATTTCTTATCCACAGAAACCGAGACAAACTTGCCTCCATTCATTAATAGAAAGTTATTCCAAAAGAAAAACAGTTGCAAGTTTAACATAGCAGGCCCCAAGCTGAGGTTGCTACAAATTAACATGATACAAGTTAAACCAATGATTTTGGCTAATGAGTATTAATGGTCTCAGAATCTGATCTTTGGAACATGCATCTCCCCAGGGCAAGTGAGCAGTACTCCACTTCTGGGTTCAATTCAGCATGGAGCACGGAACCACAGTCCTGCCCATGTCCTAATAGTTCAGAAAGTCACCCATTTCCACATTGACTCACAATCACAGGCAGGTTTTGCTGCTGCAGTGAAGCTGTTACCATTCTCAGCCATCTGCCCCACCTCTCAGCTCAAGGTTGCTTCATCCCCAAAGCCGCACAGTGATTCCTTCAACTCCTCAGTTTATAACCCAGTACAGTATCATGAAATGAAACCAGTAGCCAGCAAATTCAAATAACACACTACAAACTGTAGAACGAATCTACATCTGCTCATCTGCCTCTGAGAAAGCTGCTTGCTGAGGTGTGGGTAAGAGATGAGGATAGTAACTGTTCCAGTTGCTGCAGTTAAATCTACTTGCAGTTACAAATCGGAATCATTTGTCCTGAACTTCATTCTGTCTCAAGAAAGAAGCTGCCCATTAATTAATCAGTGGTTTCAGTTCTTTAGGAATCACTTACTCCCTGGAGTATGAGTCCCCTCGCCTATTCTAAACTGTCTGGAAGTGTCTTAGTATGTGTGTAGAAACCCAAAAGCAGGTAAAAACGCTATAATCAGTCTCAAGATGTTCTCCCACAATATCACCATATGGCGGATTAATTAGTATGGTGGATTAATTAGTATAAAGCAGCCAAAAGAATCCCAAGTTGCTGCTTTACAAACAATTATCCTGAAAACAGCAACACCTGTACTTGTTTTTGTGCACATCACTGTGAAATAAACAATGCTGAATGGATTATTCTGTTTGCATTAGAAAACACAAGGAGAGTGTAAAAAATGTTTTTTTGCAAGATGCTAACTACAAAAACAAAACAATAGACCAAAAATGAAGCTAGACTTTACTTTTAAAGATGCTTCCTGAACAAAGAAAGAACTGCTCAGGCTTTTAATTCCCTCATGCCCCCACTTTTTACAACATCTCAGTTCAGAGCTTTTCTATTCAGGTAAACAGAAAAGTCCTGCATTAATCTCAAGCAAAAAAAGCTGGAATATCCAGTCAAAATATTTTTATAGAGTATTGCTTTTTGTGATAAAAGCAAGTACTGAATTTGAAACATCAAACTTGCCTTCATGTTTCTGAAACTCCTCTTCAGTGAAATTAATGTCTTTGTGAGACAAGTTTGTCATCAGTTGTTTATTCTCCTCCTGCAGCTGTGCAATTTGAGTAAGAAGATCCTGTGCTTCCCCTCTCCAGACATCCTCCACCAGTTCTAATTCCTAAAGGGTAGACCAGGACAACACATTTATATTTTTAAACATGTTAAGAGCCTTTGACCAGACTATTTACATATCAAATTAGTAACAATCCTAGGATTCCTACAGAAAATAATTAAATGATATCTTCTAAGAAGTTCCAGTTACCCTCAATTTTTGTCATGCCAGCACCAAGAAAACCATTGAATATCAAAGTCTCCTTATGTTATTTGCTGAATGCAATTATGCAAGTTATCCTGAGAATGGCTTCTCATTCCCTTCTTTAACGTGGTGACCAGATTAAGGGGACTGCTGTTATAGAGAAGACAACCAAACATGATCAGGAGTTACCTCCCGCATCCTGGGCAGCAGCTGTTATAAATACCCCAGAAGTATCACAGCATGGGCTAGGAGGGTCAGGATTAGGCATGCTCATTTTGACAGAGTAGCTTGTCTAGTCTGGATTTGTGTTATGAAACACAAATGTAAAATAATGATGAGCACATGATACTGTGCAACAAACCCAGAACTCCTAGTCCAAATAGTGAATGCAAGACAAAATTGTGCTGCTTCTTACATAAATTGTTCTATAGGGAATGTTCCAAGTGACATCTCTGTTAGCGACAGTGAAACTGTTCAAAACAACAAGGCCCATTCGTCAGGACACTGTGTGTCAAGAGCAGCTGTCACCAATCCTCGTAAAGGTCAAATTAGGACAGAGAATATAAAGACCTCTCCTCAAGAAAAGCCAGTCATATTTAGAACTTTACTTCTTCCTGGAGTCTTTGCTATCAATCATATTTCTGCAGTGCGTGTGGGGGGGCATTCTGCACCCCATTTGCACTTAAAACAACAACAACAAAAAAGCTGCATGCAGATCACTGAAGCCAGGCTGAGTCATTCACCAACTTTTACCATTCATCCACCATGCCCCCTTCCTAACAACAAAACACATCCAGAAAACAACAGCCAAGCACAGCTCTAGGCTAAAATAAGCTCCTCTGAGAGATAACAGGATAGTTTTCTGCTTTGAATGTATGCTCTGTTAATGGGAAGCTATATTCTTATTGATGCTTAAGTCTAAATGAAATACCATTTTATTCCAGCAATTCTTTTTGCATTGCTGTCCTTTTATAATGTTTCTAAGTGTGCTAAGAGATTTGCAGAAAAGACTATAGATATAGATTTGCAATAATTTTATGTCATTTATAAGTATGCAAGCTTATTAAGAAGCATAGAAAGTTTCATGAATCACCATTATCTTCACTTGAAACACTTTAGAGAAATGTACGTGTCATGAAACTTTATTTCACCAGATATCTAGACTGTTTACAGTGATGTTGCAGCCTATACCTTGGTAGCTAGAATAACATGCTGACCTAGTTCAGAAAATAAAACCAGCACATTTGCTGCAGTTATAAACATATTGATTAGAAAAATAGGATACACATGCACAAACTTGAACTATCAAGCCTTGTATTTTTTAGGTATGGCTACACTGTAAATGCACAGTTACACTCAAGCTTGCCTTGGAAAATTTTCCTATTTACTGCTATTGAAGAACCAAGGAACTGGAGCACAAAATTCTGAACCTCCACTAGTGACAGTATCAGGCACAGAAGGCAGGGAATCTGGGGGCCAGTAGGTGCAAACAGCTCAGGAAATCCCAGCCAGAGCTAAACCAGGTGTATGTATAGAGCAGTCCTATGTTAGCAGGCTGAGAATTAAAGGGGAAGACTTAAAAAAGTGTTATATTTGTGCATACACATTAGTTGCCTTGTTAAAATATTTTTCCAGCATTCGTGTGGATTGTCTGAACAGTCCCTGACTCATTTTGTGACTATTAGGAAAGTTGGCAGAGTAAGTGGTTATTGGTGAAGTATGGATGAGTAACCGGCAAGGAATAAGCTGATACCTAACAAGTATGTTATGCAGTTGACATGTTTAGGAAGCCTTTTAATGTATGCATGGACTTCAGGAGTACAAACACAGAATATTGGCTTGTGCCAACATACTAGATATTGCTGCCATGGCCAGCAACTGTATCTGGTTCACCATGCAGCGCTCCTGAGCTCGGGAAGATCAAATTTGATGCTAGCAGGGGGTCCAGGCACAGTTCAAGAGCAGTACAACAGAACACCTGCTATCTAACCACTAAAATAGTTAGAGATGAGGTTTACCAGAGGGATAAACACATGGATTTGGTACATGTTGTACTCTCCTTTGGGCCAGTAAAAGATTTCATCCTTTGGAGACTTACCAGGACTTTCTAGAGACTAAGTGTACTTCTGCAATATGTTGCAAGAATTGCTCTGTATTTTTCATATGCTACACAGAAGACCCTTAGCTGACTCAAAAAACAAATATATGAGACTTTCCTAAATAAACCCAAACTAACTCTTGAAGTTTGAGGCCTCTCTTCCACAAGTTCCCTGTCTCTTCTCCATCTGTGCGTGCAAGCACAGAAGGAAGGAGGCAGCAGCAATGACTTAGCACAGTCACATGCCAGGAGGACCATTTCTTTAAACTTCAGATCAGCTGCCTGGGCAAGTCTGAAGAGCCAGGTCTGCCACTCACACTGCAGTAAGTGGAAAGGCTCTTGCTATCCCGTCATGCTGAAGTAATAGGACACAGGAAACGATCTCCAGCTTAGGGATTTAGGGAAGCAGCCACCACGACTGCCCCAGGGACGAGGTCTTACCACCAGAGGATGCAGCAGGAACACAGGGACACGCTCTTGCCTGCTCTTCAGTTCTAACACTGACCTGAACTCACTCGGTCCTCCCACGACTTGCCTACGCGACAGAAGCCCAGGCTGACTGCTAAGTCACACGCAGCTCTGGAAGGAAAAGCGCGTTACCAGCAGTGGTGTTTCCTGGCCTAGCGGGAAGCAACGTTACCCCCCCAGAAGAGGAGAGGCCGGAGCCCGTACGTGGGCGGGGGGAGAAGGAAACGCGGAGGCCGGGGAAGGGGTGGAGAAAGGGAAGGAGAAAGGAAACTTCCAGGAGGAAAGAAGCCAACGGAGCAAAGGAGCCAGCACCAAGCCCGGGGCAGGCCGAGGCGGCCCCCGCGCACCTTCTGGTGCTTGCGCTCCTTCTCGATGCGGTCCATCCTCTCGAGGCGGAGGCGGTCGAGCTCCAGGCGCAGCTCCTCCATCTCGGGGTTGATGTGGTTGCGGCTCACGAGCACCTCGAGGATCTCCAGGACCCGCACCACCTTGGGCATGAGCCGGGCGATGGCCTCGCAGCCGTGCTGGTCGATGACGCGCTCGAACTCCTGCCCCACGGCCGAGGCGATGTCGTAGACGTCCATGACGGTCAGCTCCGCCGCGTTCTTCTCCAGCGCGGGCGGCGCCCCCCCGCCGCCCTCCATGGCTCCCTCATAGGCGGCGGCAACGGGGCGACGCGGCCGCCC